ACATCTCCCTGATGCATTTGGGAGAAAGAGAGGGAGAAGACACCCTTAGGCTCCAAGAGGTGACCAGATGTCCCTAGAATTTAATGACACTATTCCTTTACATTGTTTACTTTTATTTTTTTAAAGTAGTTTATTTTCATAGAAATACAAACAGTAAACAAAAAAAACCTTATATAATGAGTAATATATTTAAATATATTTTTAAAAATGAAATAATATAAAAACCATCCAATGCATCATCAGTTTATTTTTGGAGTTACATTCTATTTATGCCAGTTTACAGTTATTTTTCCATTTACAGTGATGATGTAACAACAATTATAATATTGCCACAGATTCATTCACCCAAACATGGTGATTCCTACCTTCTTTTTGTCCTTGCCCTGACATGTGCCTGGTAACATAGCCGTCCCCACATATCCCCACGTGTATAGAACATCATGGCGCCCTGCATTTGCATATTAAAAGGCTAGGGTAGGAAGGCCAGTTTTTTCGTGGGCTACATGAGTGACATGCCTGGTCAAACCAATTCCCTGAGCCCTGTGCAAATCAGACACCACCTCCTCCAGCCTCCTTATATAAGCAGCCACTTTTCCCGCAGCACACAGGGTTTTCTCTTTGTTAGAATCTCCCCTCTCTCTGTCTCCATAAGGGGGAGCTGTTTCCTTCTTCCTTCTTTCTTTCTTGCTTATTAAGCTCTCTGCTCCTTAAGACTACAAAATAATAATAATAATAATAATAATATGACCACAGAAATTGTAGTGATGGCTCTTACTTAATGAGCACCTACTAAATGCTAGTCCTGTGCAGAGAATTCGCATGTATTACCTCACCCAATCTTGATCAGCTCTTTAAGGTGGGTGTAATTACAGTCTCCGTTTTACAGATGAGGAAACTGAGGCACAACGAGTTAAATCTGACTTGCCAGGTACACATAACCAGTAGATGACAGAATCAGAGTTTGAACCCGGGCAGTCTGGCTGCACTCGCATAACTGCTGTGATGATATAGAGTCTCACTGAAAAACACAATTATGTACGTTTTGAAAAAGTGAGCAGATTTGAAGAAAAAGAGTAAGTGCTAACAGTATACATGATATGAGGAGATGCTAAAAATCATGAAAGTCATCATGAATCATTATATTTCCACAACCAAAACAAAACAAGCTTAGCCCAGCTCAGTATGCTTTCTTTACACAAGGAAAGAGGCCCAGAGAGGGAAAGGACCTACTCAAGGCTGCACAGAGAGGCCGGAGTCCACGTGTCAGGAGAGAGGAGGGAGGGAGTGGGGAGGGCACACGGCAGGGGAGGGAACTGCTCCCAGGATTGCATGGGGTGGGAAATGTTAGGGTTTGACCATGATTGGTGGGGGTTGGGGGGGATTAGAAGAGGATACCAGGTCAGAGGAGATTTCCCCTGTTCTGCCAAGTTGAAGGCCCCTCCCCCCACCTCAGTGTAAAACCTCCTGGGTACATGTGATTTCAGCACCAGGTGCCTGTCGGTCCATCATCCTGTCTGAGCTTACGGCCACGGCAGTGCCTGGACCCTGTTTCCGTCACAATGGGCTGTGGACAGTCATTCATTCACTCATTCATTCTACAAATAGTGATGGCCGCTCCCTGCGCCCAGCACTGTGTGGGTTACGGGTGGGAGGGAGCCTCGGTCCTCCGTAAAAGCCTCCTGGCGTTGGAATCTTGCTGGCATTGAGAAATGCCACCCTCCTCCTCCTCAGAGTTCCTACTGTATTTCTCTTTCTTCAGGGGCCTCATTTACTGAAATGACTTTTCCTTCCTAAGTAAGCTCCCTTTGAGTGGGGTCCTTATTTATTCTCATCTCCCTTTGCACCCCTGGGCAGCAGGTGGACCTGGAGCTTGTAACCAGACTGGGGCAACTAGAAGGGCCCCCATGAGGTTCGTGACCCATGGGTCCTAAGACCATACCTGAGTGGAAACCTCTGGCCTAGTCCAACTTGTCTATTTGACAGAAAAATAGTAGTTCCGACCAGGCGCAGTGGCTCATGCCTGTAATCTCAGCACTTTGGGAAGGCAAGGTGGATGGATAGCTTGAGCTCAGGAGTTCCAGACCAGCCTGGGCAACATGGTGAAACCCCATCTCTACCAAAAATACGAAAATCAGCCAGGCGTGGTGGTGGGTACCTGTGGTCCACAGCTACTCGGGAGGTTGAGGTGGAAGGATTGCTGGAGCCCAGGAAGTCAAGGCTGCAGTGAGCCGAGATAGCATCACTGCACTCCAGCCTGGGCGACAGAGCAAGACCCTGTCTTTGAAAAAGAAAAAAAGGGCTGAGCATGGTGGCTCATGCCTGTAATTCCAGCTATTTGGGCTGAGGCAGGAGAATCGCTTGAACCAGGGAGGCAGAGGTTGCAGTGAGCAGAGATGGGACCACTGCACTCCAGCCTGGGCAACAGAGCAAGACTCCTTCTCAATAAAAAAAAAAAAAAAAAAAAAAAAAAAGAAAAGAAAAATTGTGGTTCAGAGAGGACATTTTGTTCCCTCTGCCATAAAATTTATGAAGCACCTGTTTGTGCTGGGTCCTGTGCAGACACCGAGGCCCGAGAGAGGAAAAGAAGCCAGTGCTTGCTGTACCTGCCTCCTGTTGCCAGTGCAGCAAATGATCAGTCACTTTAGTTTCAAGCTACACAAGTGTAGTATCTTGCAGGTAATAAAAGATCAGAGGCCTGACATGCATCTTATTGGGCCAAAAACAAAGTCTTGCACGGCTGTTTCTCTTCTGGAGGCTCTAGGGGAGAATCCATTTGCTTGCCTTCTCCAGCTTCTAGGAGACGCCCATTCCTTGGCTCCTGCTCTGTGTTCCAAGCCAGCAACATAACAGCTCTCTGATCCTGCTTCTGTTGTCATATTTCTGCTATTTATTTATTATTTTATTTTATTTATTATTGCTCTGTCGCCTAGGCAGGAGTGCAGTGGCGCCATCTCGGCTCACTGAAACCCGTCTCCCAGGTTCAAGCAATTCTCATGCCTTGGCCTCCCAAGTAGCTGGGATTACAGGCACGCATCACCACACCTGGCTACTTTTTGTATTTTTAGTAAAGATGGGGTTTTGCTGTGTTGGCCAGGCTGGCCTTGAACTCCTGACGTCAGGGATCCGCCTGCCTCAGCCTCTGTAAGTGCTGGGATACAGGCATGAGCCACCACACCCAGCCTATTTATTATTTTAATGTAAGAAGAGATGGGATCTCATTATGTTGCCCAGGCTGGTCTCAAATTCCTAGCCTCAGGTGATCCTCCCACCTCGGCTTCCCAAAGTGCTGGGATTACAGGTGTGAGCCACTGCCCCTGGCCCATAGTCACATTTCCTCTTACCCTTCCCTCTTCTGCATCCTCTTCCACCTGGCGATTACACTGGGCCCATTTGTCTAATCCAGGATGGTCTCCTTGTTTTAAAGTCAGCTGATTAGCAAACTTAATTCCATCAGTAGCCTTAACTCACCTTTGTCTTGTAAGGTAGCCCATTCACAGGTTCCAGAGATTAGGATGTGGGCATCATTGGAGGTCATTCTACTCATTACACCTGCCTTTAGATGGGACCTGCTGTAATAGGGGCACTACAGGAGCCCAGAAAAGGGGACACCTGATCTCACTGGGTAGTGGGGGGCGCCCAAGAAAATCACCTGGAGGAGGTGACGGCTGACCTGAGTCTTGAATGAGGAGTTGGCCAGGTGAGGAGGGGTGGAAGTGAAGGGCATTCTAGCAGGAAGACACTGCATGTGCGGAGGCCTGGAGGTGAACGAGGGAAGGCATGTGCCACTGTGGCCGAAGCATGGAGAGGGGCGGCAAGGCTGGAGGGGAGGCGGGCGGAGGGCAGCTGCCAGATCTCGGGGGAGCTGGATGACTGGAGGCTAATGCTTCCTGAAGACAGTGGGAACCCTTGAGAGGCTTGGAGCAGAGACTGATGAGGTCAGGTTTGCGTCTGAGAAAGGTCACTCTGGGGTCCTGGTGGAAACTGGCTGGGGTGAGAAAGACGAGAATTTGGCAGCCAAGGAGAGGAGTCAGGTGATCCTGGGTCCTGGGCCTGGTGTTCCTTCTCCTGGACTCTGACTGCCAGGGGAACGGGCTGACTGCCTTCTGGATCCCTTCCTGGAAGAGGCGGTGAAGCCTGGATCAGGGCGGGGAGCAGGGGACAGAGCGGAGTACCTGGCTGGAGAGCTGCTGGCGGAGGGGAAGTGGTGTGGGACACACTGAGGGCTGTTTGTGGGTCGGGAGGCAGGAGGAGAAGCAGTGTTGTGAGCAGATTTCTGGCCTAGGAGCCTGACTGGGCGGTGGGGTCATCACTGAGATAGGACTGGGGGAGGAGCAGGTTTGGGAAGTTGCCAGGTTGGGTCTGATGTGTTGGCGGTTGGTGGCTGAGAGGCATCTAGGAGGTCCATGGAGGCAGCTGGCTATACAGTCTGCAGCCGTGGACTTGTATCAGTTATTGCTGAGTGACAAATGACCCCAAAGCGCAGTGGCAAAACAGCAATCACTTATTCTCACTCTCCCGTCTGCACGTGGACTGGGGCTGTCTGATCTGGGCTGGGCTTCCCTTGTGGCTCAGCTTCAGGCTACAGGCCTGCAGGCCAGCCAGGCGGTCAGACTGGGGCAATGGCAGAATCCTCTTTCTCTTTGACCCTGACCTGAATGCCCACCCCCTGACCCCTATTCCTACACGTCTCCCTGGATCAGCAGATGACATTTGAGCAAAGACGTGCAAGAGGTGTGGGAATGAGGCTGTCTTGAGGAACAGCATTCTAGGCAGAGGGAACAGCCAGTGCAAAGGCCCTGAGGTAAGATTGTGCCTAGTGTGTTTGAGGAACAGGAAAGAAGGCCAGTGTGGCTGGCAGTGGTGAGTGAGGGGGGTAGGGTAGGAGAGGAGGTCAGAGAGTTAGCAGGGGCCTTAGGCTTATGGGGCCTGTAAGGTCATGGGAAGTGGCCTCTGTCCTTATTATCATTGCTATTATCAACCCCTCCTCCTGTCCCCCACAGGACCCTCCACCCCTCGACACAGCTGTCCAGCATGCCCTGGCAGGCCTCTATCCTCCTTTCGAGGCCACAGCACCCACCGTCCTGGGTCAGGTGTTCCGTCTCCTGGACTCTGACTTCCAGGGGGATGGACTGAGCTTCCTTCTGGATTTCCTGATCCCTGCCAAGCGCCTGTGTGAGCAAGTGCGAGAAGCAGCCTGCGTAAGTCGAGAGGGAAACAGGGCCAGGGGCAAAGCTATCCCAGAAAGTCTTGGGGCTAGAGGCGGACAGAGAAGGAGGTGGGCTGGCATGTGTCTTGTTTCACGGGGAACTGAGTGTGTGTGGGGACTTTCCAAGTATCATTGCTTGCCCAAGGGGAGATTTCAGCCTCCCAGATCGAGGGGGCTTTACCCTGTGACATCTATGAGTTCGTTACATTGTACTGTCACCAGCAGAGAAGAAGGCCTGAATAAAGACATCCTTGGGGGCTCCCTGGTCCTGGGGAGCCTGCCCTGCACCTGACACTGTGGGCATTGCCAAGTGCCTTGGGTGAAGTGGGGCAGCTTCAGTGGAAATAGCAGAGAAGGTGCTAGAGCTTCCCCAGAGCCCCTGGGGCATCAGGACTCTTGCTTTCTTCCCCTGTGACCTCTTCAAACTCAGATCTCAGGGAGGCCTCTGCCAAGGCAAAGTGGAGAGAAAACTGTTTTAGCCAGACTCATTGACTGCAAACGACAGACTCCTCACTCAGACCAGGGAAGGGTGGATCAGGCCTCAGGCCCAAGTTGATCCACTGATCAAACCCCTTGAAGACCCTTTCTGTCCCTAGTCTATGCTTCGCACTGCTTGTTGGCATTATTCTTCCAGGCTAAGTGTTCCCACGAGGCTGGAACCCAGGGAAGCTCAAGGATTTATCTTCTACCCTAGAGAGGAAAATAAACTCTTTCCCATCCACTGCACATAGAAAAATCTCAAGGAAGGATCCTGACTGGCCAGGCTTGGGTCATATGCCCATTCCTGGACCAATCACTGTGGCCAGAGGAGTGGGGAACCAGGATTGACAAAGCTTGAGTCATGTGTCTACCTCTATGGTCAGAGGGTGGAGCTGTTTTAAGAAAAGGATGAGAAGGCCGGCAGTGGTGGCTCATGCCTCTAATCCCAGCACTTTGGGAGGCCAAGGCAGGCGGATCATGAAGTCAGGGGTTCGAGACCAGCCTGGCTAAGATGGTGAAACCCCATCTCTACTAAAAATACAAAAATTAGCTGGGTGTAGTGGCATGCACCTGTAGTCCCAGCTACTCGGGAGGCTGAGGCAGGAGAATCACTTGAACCCAGGAGGCAGAGGTTGCAGTGAGCCGAGATCACGCCATTGCACTCCAGCCTGGGTGGCAGAGTGAGACTCCATCTCAAAAAAAAAAAAAAAAAAGGAAAGGATGAGAGAAGCCTGAGGAGACCAAGCCCTCAAATGTCTACCGCAGGAACTTGCCATTCCCTTCATGGGTTTCCCGACTGTTCCCTGTCTTATTGTTATTAATGCTTACCCTCCTGCTACCCCAGCCTCAAGAATCACAGCGAGGTTCCAAGGTCCCATCAGCCTGTCCTGAGTTGCTCACTGCCTGTCAGGGACACAGCTCATCAGAAGCAACAAGGAAGGGTGGGGACTGTGTGCATCATTTCAGTGGTACAAGTAAATTGAATGTGGCAGCTAAAAGTCCAGGGTTAGGAACTAGAAGGAAAATGAGATAATCTATTTTACTTGCTTAGCACAGAGCCTAGTTCATAGAAATAGCTCAATACATGGGAACTGGTATTGGAGAAGAAGGGAGCTTCTTATGGAAACATTTGCAGCCACTTTCACATGACACTATTTCATGCAGATGCTCTCCTATCTTTATTTCTTCTCCCTGACAAGCTACACAATTGCCCACTTCCCTTATTTGGCCATTTAAACTTCATTTGCGCTGGCCCCTTCCTCAAGGTAACCTTTCCACGTCTTTATTTTTCCTTGTAGGTGAGTTTAACCTAATTGTAACAATAGGCAAATATCTGTCAACCTCGGAGCAGTGGGAAGTCATGTGGGATTAACGGGATGGCTTCTGGGGTCAGATGCCCCAGGTTCAAATCCAAACTCATCACTGTGAACTTGGGAGATCCATGTCACCTCTCTGAGTTTCAGTTTCCTTATGTGTCAAGCAGAAACGTTAATAACACAGCACCTAACATATGGAGATGACACACATGGCTTAGGGCAGACTCTGACATGCAACAAGTGCCCAGTAGCTATTGGCTATCACTATCCCACTTCCTTGTTTCTCCATCTGAAATAAGAGCATGACAGCCTCAAAGTCTGCTCTCCAGCCACCATTACCCAGAGGCAGCCACCTTCACATAAAGTCTGGTGAGGCTTGGGGACAGATACAGCTGACTTCAAATGTGAAGGCCTAGGTCCAAGTCCATGATGTTTATCCACTATGTGGCTATGAGCCAAATGTTTTACCATATTGAGCCTCAGTTGCATCATCTGTAAAATGAGAATAATAATGCCTGAACTGCCTACACCAAACTGAGTTACTGTGAAAGTCAAGTGAGACGATCAAAGCCATCATCACTATGGTGCTTTGCTGTTTGCAAAAAAATGGCTGGGATGTTTTTTCTCATTCAATGAGAAGGTGAGAGAGAAAGCATGTTGCAAATCCAAGAGGGCTAAGTTAAAAGGGTCGAGAAACCTACAGACTCATGAAGGTTTATGGATATTAAGCTTCTCTGAGGCAGCCCAATCTACAAAATAACTGATATAAATGGGTTTATCAACATAAGGTATAACTATGGTCAGATCTCACTATTTCCCCAATCAATAATTCCAGGAAACACCTGCTTCATTAGCAGGAAATTCAGTCTCACTCTCTGTACATCTCCCACACAAACATCCAAATTATATAAGATTGTCTGGGACTTACTCAATCCACAGAACTCAGACTCTTTTTCCAAAAGCCAGTTAAAGAAAGACCTGTTGTCAGCCCAGTGGAGCTGTTGTTTCCGTTGTTGCCACATGGTGTCACTGTTGAACACTGGTACCGCACAGTCCAGTGGAGAGGCTCAACTGAGAGGGATCACTTGGGTCACAGCCTGTTCCAGAATGACCCACTATGCCCACCTATACAGGGAATTGCTGGCAACTCCTGTTAAAAAAAATTTTTTTTTTCAGTTTTGCTTCACCTTCATGTTGTAATCCATTAATGGGAAATAAATAAACAATAAACAAACCATGTTGTTAGCCATTAATGAAAAATAAATAAACAAACAAATAAATAATAAATGTTCTGGCCCAGAATAACCTTTGGGTCAGGAAAAACTGGACAGTCATCTAGTGAGTTAGTGGAAGGGTCAGATTTCCTGACTTTTCATTCAATACTGTTTCTACTTCACCCTCAGTACACTATCCAAATTCAATAAGATATTCAATACTTTATTATAAAATAGGCATTGTGCTAGATGATTTTGGCCAACTATAGGCTGATGTAAGTGCTCTGTGCACATTTAAGATAGGCTAGTCTAAATAAGCTATGATGTTCTGTAGATTAGGTACATTAAATGCATTTTTGACTTACGATATTTTCAATTTATGATGAATTTACCAGGATGTAACCCCACCATAAATCGAGGCATATCTGTATAATCTCACTTAATCCTCATACCAACCCAGTAATACTGACATGTATTATTATCCTATTTGGAGATAGGGAAATTGGGGCTCAAAGAAGTTAAGCAATTTACACAAATTAGTGACGTAGACCTTTGTCTAAACCATGTATCCCTGGCTTTCACATGGAGGGCTAAAGCTTGAGCTGGGTTGGGAGATGTTCTGGATAGATGGGGAGAGGAAGGGAGCATGAACCAAGCAAGGGGACCACTTGGGAAAGCTGATTGCTAACTAGTGCATGGTGTTCTGAGCTTTCTCACTTAGGTCAGTAGGCTAGCAAGAATTTTCAAGGTCAGGGCCAGGACGAGGGTGGGACAGGAGAGGCAACCTTTGCACAACCTTGACAGTGAGTGCCTCCTAAATGCTGCCTCATCCTAGTCCCTGACCTGTTCCAGATTCCACATGGGAGAGGGAATGGAGCAGATCCAAGGGTGGAGCCTTTCAGGGCCAGGTTCTCTGATGCCATCCCCTTCTCTCCACAGGCTCCCTACTCCCACTGCCTCTTCCTACATGAGGGCTGGCCACTCTGTCTGAGGGATGAAGTTGTGGTCCACTTGGCTCCCCTCAACCCTCTCTTATTGCGCCAGGGTGACTTCTACCTCCAAGTGGAGCCCCAGGAGGAGCAGTCCGTCTGCATCATGATCAAATGCCTCTCCCTGGACCTCTGCACAGTGGAGAAGAAGCCTGTTCCTGAGCCAGCCTATCCTATACTTTTCACCCAAGAATGGCTGGAGTCCATCAACAGCGACTTTGAGGGAAGTCCCCTACACAACTGCTTGGTAGCATCAGAAAATGGGATTGCCTCTGTGCCTTGGACCAAGATAACCAGCCCAGAGTTTGTGGATGACCACCCCCAAGTAGTGAATGCCCTCTGCCCAGCCTGGGGGCCCCTTCCATTAGAGGCACTGGATTTGAGCAGCCCTCAAGAGTTGCACCAGGCCAGCTCTCCGGACAACCGGGTGCTTTTCACCCAGAGTTTGGCCAAGGGTAAGGGCAGGACATATGGGAGCAAGTATCCAGGACTTATCAAGGTGGAGCAAGCCCGGCGTGGGGAGATGGCCTTCAGGATGGGTGAGGTGGTCAGCCAGGACTTTGAGGGAGACTATGTGGCTCTCCTAGGCTTTCCCCAAGAGAGCAGAGGAGAGTCTCCCAGTAGGGAGGTGGGCACATCCAGTGGGTGTACTTCTGGGGCACTAGAGGAGATATCTGGAACTAAGGAAACTCCCTTATCTCAAAAGATACTGCCTCTCTCAGAGGCCAACGAAGGACCTTCCTTGGGAAATCGGGCTTTCACGAAGCCAGAAAGCTCCGAGGAGGAGCCCTGCAATTTGGGCTTGAGAAGAAAGGTCAATCATAAAGAACCCACCCACGACTCAGAAAGGCCGCCCCAAGGCTCCTACATGAATGTCCTTGAGGACCCACTGGACTGTGCCTCTGGCCTCAGGGCAGGTGTTTCACAAGAGCCAGCTGCCTCCAAGGTGCAGGGACCTCTAGGAAACCCAGAGAATATGGTGCAGCTCAGGCCTGGACCAAGACAAGCTTCCTCTCCCTGCCTGTTCCCAGCTTCTCCTGCAGCTCCAGCCTCTGAAATAAAGATGGAGGTGAAGACCAAACAGAGAAATGGGAGACTTCCCAAGCCCATGCCCTGCCCTAGCAGAAACACCTCCTCCCCTGAGTCCCCCACTCCTGGGCTCAAGTTCTCATTCTTGAAAGGGCAGAGGCAACCCTCTGTGACTCCAGAGAAAGCCTCACTCCAGCACGATGGGCCCTGGAAAGTCCTGTGTTCCCTCTACTCTCCTAAACCCAACCGAGCCAAATCTTTGGGGAAAGGTAAGATGCCCACATGCCCAGCTGTACAGGGAGGTTATTGTCTGATTGAGATCACATTTCAGGTGGTTTTGGTTGTAAGCGACAGAGACCACCTGGGCTGGCTCAGCTTCAGGGGTTTAGTGTGCTGTGTGGCATGTTAAGGGGCTTGAAGTCTCATATGTCTGGAATCGAGCAAGGCACTGTGACTGTGTTACAACTGCCTGAGTTCACACCCCACCTTTGCCACACACTGGATGTGTGACGTTGGCCAAATACTGAGATTCTCTGAGTCCAGGTCTCCCTATCAGTGCAATGGGAATGTCACCTACTTCACGGTGTTATTTTAAGGGTTCAAAGGGACATGAGAAGCCAGGTGTGGTGGCTTATCCCATAATCCCAGTGCTTTGGGTGGCTGAGGCAGGAGAATTTGGGTGGCTTGAGGCCAGGAATTTACAAGAAAGAAAGAAAAGAAGGAAAAAAAAAAAGGAAGGAAGGAAGGAAAGGAGGGAGGGAGGGAGGGAGGGAGAGGAGGGAAAAGAAAAAAAGCTGGGCATGGTGGTGCGTGCCTACAGTCTCAGCTACTCGGGAGGCTGAGGTGAGAGGATCTTTCAAGCCCAGGAGTTCAAAGCTGCAGTGAGCTGTGTTCATGCCACTGTATTCCAGCCTGGGCAACAGAGTGAGACTCTGTCTCTAAAGAAAAAAAAGTGAGGTGTCGGGAGGGGTAACACTAAAAGTAAGGGGCTTAGTGCAATGCCTGGCACATGGGAGAGATCAATAGTTGTAAGCTATTATTAGTCAGAAGGAGAAAGAGGAAACATTTTCCCCTTAGAAAGCCCATCTTCTGCTTAACATCCTTTTCTTTGTTGTTGCTGTTTCCCAGCTGGATCACCTCAGACCAAAACATCTGGCCCAGCCACTGCCTCCAGCCCACTGCCTGAGGAAAAGGCTGCCTTCCCAGAAGCTTCTGCAGGCTCCCCAGAAAAAGGCCCCACCCTGGAGGAGAAGCCCCCAGGGCCTGAGCCCAGGATTGGGGCTCTAGGTGTCAGGGTTTTCCGCTCCAGGATAGCATGCCTGCCAGGTTCCAGGGGATTCAAGCAGGAGGTGGTGGGGAGGGAGCTGGGGGCCCCAGAGCATCCTCAGGTGCTGGTGGGTGGAGGGGAGACAGGGAAAGCCCTGGAGGCCTAGGTTCTAGACAAAGCCTCCTTGGGCATCAGTTTCCTCATCTTTCCCATGGGATAATTGGAATAGATGAAAGCAATTTGTTGGTGTCCATCCACCCATCTATATGTCTGTCTGTCTGTCTACTTGTCTATCCATCAGTGAGGCAGCCAAGGTGGATATCGGGTTCCCCAGAAGCAGAACCTGAGACATAGATTTTTGGGAAAGTAACTTATTGGAGGAGGGCTCTGAGAAGAAGGACAGAGGGTCAGGGCAGGGGAAGGAACCAAGCAAGGCTGTGGACTGACCCCAGGGAGAGCGCTGGGGCATGACCCGCCCCACAGAGTTGGCTCCAGCTTAAGGCATAGGGGACTGGCCTTTTATAATCCTTGTCTTTCAGTCATTAACTATGGGCTGATCCCCAGTCTATCCGTCATTAATGAACTGCAGGAACTGCGGGCTAATCCTGGAATGGGGTGGGGCAGGGGGAGCCAGTGATCGAGTTCAGTCCAGGGCGCTTCTTCAGAGGGGGCATCTGTGAGCCACTGACAGCTGGTACTTCCAGACTCTGGGGATAGGTTCTCTGCCTGCTGAGGGGATCTGGGTTTGGGGTACTAGCAGCATCCAATACAGGAGGTCATATCACTCCTATTTAATATTTCCTCATTGTTGTAACAGATGTTTACTGGATCCTGGGTTTAGCACTGGAGATTCATAAGAGAACAAGTCTGATGTGTTCTCTGCTCTCAGGAAACCTATATTCTAGTGGTGGGGAAAAGCCAACAGGTTATCACAACAGATTATTGCAACCCAGTGTAAACAAAGTGTGACAGTTGGGAGGGACAGGGGGCTGTGGAAGCATAGATGAGTCCCCTCGTTGAGGCTTAGAGTAGTAGAGGTCAAGGAAGACTTCCTGGAGGAAGTAACGGAAAGCCTAGTCCTATGGTATGAATAGGAATTATCCAGGTGAAGAGTTGGAAACAGTGTTCCAGACAAAGGGAACAGCATGTGCAAAGGTCCAGAGGCAAGAGAACCACAGTGCTTTCTGGAGACTGACTGTCCTGAAATACTATTTTACTTTACAGACTTCTACATCTCTCCAGGACCTTGGGCACTGCCCTGTCTTTTTGCAGCTCCCAGGAGACCTTATCTGTCCTTTTCCTGGTCATCTTTGCTGAGGCTCCTGCTGTTTGTTCCTATATTAATTGTACACAAAGGATCTCATGATCCTCTTAGGGCCGTTATGTGCCAAGGGCTCAGATTTTGTCCATGGAAGGCTCTGCTGTGGGAGGAAGAAGACCTTTGTTTTAGTTCTAACTCTGTCATTAGCTCCCTGTGTGCCCTTGGAGAAGTCACTGCCCTCTCTGGGCCTCCTCAAGAGGAGGAGAACAGGCAGATAGCACCTGGCTCATTGTCACTCTTTTGTCAGTTACTCTTGTTGTAATTCTTGGGGATTGCAACATGCACTGTTAGCTCGCACATGCCTGATGCGTAGTACATGTGCATAAAGCATTTGCTGCGTGAATGAGCAACGTCCACACGCATGCTCATTCTGTCCGTTTTTTGTCCTGCTCTTCTCTAGTGATCTTGTCCTTGTTCTCCACATGACTCCCCCCATGGCATCCCCTGTAACCAACTTCTCCCAGCTGGGTTTTCATGTTAAGGCTCCCACTCCTTCATTACGACTGCTTCTCTTTCCAGCTCACCCACTGCCCCAAGTTTTATCATCTTCAGGCCTCCCAAAACCTTGAACCTGTTGGCTCAACCACATTTTCACTCCCCTTTCCCAGCATGTCTCCCCCCACCCTCCACCACATCCCTTCCCTGTTACCACGTTTCCCCCCATCATATCCCTTCCCCATCATGTCGCCCCCACCCTCCACCATATCCCTTCCCCATCATCATGTCTCCCCCACCCTCCACCATATCCTTTCCCCATCATGTCTTCCCACCCTCCACCACATCCCTTCCCCGTCACCATGTCTCCCTCCGCCACCTCCCTCCCATCATCATGTCTCCCCCACCACATCCCTCCCATCATCTTGTCTCCCCCACCACATCCCTTCCCCATCATATGTTTCCCCCACCACATCCCTCCCCATCATCACAGTTCCCCCCACCACATCCCTCCCATCTTGTCTCCCCACCACATCCCTCCCCATCATCACATGTCTCCACCACATCCCTCCTCCCAATTACCTTGTCTCCCCACCACATCCCTCCCCATCATCATGTTTCCTCCTATCACATCCTCCCCATCATCATGTTTCCCCCATCACATCCCTTCCCCATCATCATGTCTCCACCACCCTTCCCCATCATCATGTCTCCAATTACATCCCTTCCCCCATCATGTTTCCACCACATCCCCTTCCCCATCATCATGTCTCCTACCACCTCCCTTCCCATCATCATGTTCCCCCACTACATCCCTTCCCCATCATCATGTTTCCCCACCACATCCCTTCCCATCATCATGTCTCCACCACCTCCTTCCCCATCATCATGTCTCCCCACCACATCCCTCTCCATCATCATGTCTCCCCCACCACATCCCTCCCCATCATCATGTCTCCCCCACCACATCCCTCCCCATCATCATGTTTCCCCCCACCACATCCCTTCCCCATCATCATGTCTCCCCACCATCCTCCCATCATCATGTTCCCCACCACATCCGGCTCTCATCACTGTCTCCCCCACCACATCCCTCCCCATCATGTTTCCTCCATCACATCCCTCCCATCATCATGTTTCCCCCATCACATCCCTTCCCCATCATCATGTCTCCCCACTACATCCTCCCCATCATCATGTCTCCCCACCACATCCCTCCCATCACTGGGCGTCTCCCCCACTCACCTCCCTTCCCCATCATCATGCCCCCCACCACATCCCTTCCCATCATCATGTCTCCCCACCATCCCTTCCCCATCACTTCATGTCTCCCCACCACATCCCTCCCCATCATCATGTCTCCCCACCACATCCCTCCCATCATCATGTCTCCCCCACCACATCCCTCCCATCATCATGTCTCCCACCACATCCCTCCCCATCATCATGTCTCCCCCACCACATCCGTTCCCCATCATGTCTCCCACCACATCTGTTCCCATCATCATGTCTCCCCCACCACATCCCTTCCCCATCATCATGTCTCCCACCACATCCCTCCTCATCATCATGTTCCCCACCACATCCCTCCCATCATCATGTCTCCCCCACCACATCCTTCCCCATCATCATGTCTCCCCCACCACATCCCTCCCATCATCATGTCTCCCCACCACCTCCCTCCCATCATCATGTCTCCCCCACTACATCCCTCCCCATCATGTCTCCCCACCACATCCTCCCATCATCATGTCTCCCCCACCACATCCCTCCCATCATCATGTCTCCCCCACTACATCCTTCCCCATCACCATGTCTCCCCCACCAAGATCCGTTCCCCATCATCATGTCTCCCACCACATCCCTTCCTACATCATCATGTCTCCCCCACTCACCTCCGCTCCCCATCAATATGTCCCCCACCACATCCCTCCCACCATCAAAGTGTCTCCCCCACCACATCCCTCCTATCATCATGCCCCCACCACATCCCTCCCCATCATCATATCCCCCACCACATCCGGCTCCCCATCATCATGTCCCCCACCTAATCACATCCGCTCTCCATCATTATGTCTCCACCTTCTGTCACATCCCTCACATCCCTTCTTCCTAGCTAGATTCCAGGCTTACATTGTAATCACTTTCAAATACTTACTTGCTTGCTTTTCTTTTCCACCTTCACACTTACCTGAGCAAATCCCAACCTCCGTGAGACTCCAACTCTACTCTATACCCTCAAGCTGAACAAAGATGGAAAATCCACACATTTCCAGCAGGCTAATTGTGTTAGATTCTGACTACCGACTCCGGGGTCCTATGGTGCCGGTGATCTCATTTCACCTCCAGAGTCTGAATGACTCCCTTCGACAGTCCTGTGTGATGACTTCACACCTCTCTCTCCTTTCACACCTTCAACACCACCTTCCCCCAACTTAAATCTCAGCTGATGACCTTCCTCTGGCCCTTTACTGAGTAAGCAGAAAACAATTGGAAGGAAGCTTATGAACTCCCCTTCTCTGTAATCCATATCTACCTGCTTGCTGGCATCTGTACCCACAGGCTCAGCATTCTGGTACGATGATCTGTCCATGTGCTCCGAGGCTGACTCGAACCAGTGCTCTGTTCCCTTCCTACCTCCTCAATACATCCCTCCAGCAAGATTCTCCCTCTCCTTCCTTCAGATCATCTTCCTCTTGGCTCTGTCATTCTATCAGCTTGAGAACATGCTGCAATATTGCCCAGTTTGAAACCAGCCATTCTAGCCCTCATGTTCACCTCACCCTTTTGTACATTAAAACCCACAAAAGAGTTGTCTGTGTCTCTGTCTCCACACCTTTCTCTCTTCCACTCACTCTAATCAGAATCCTTCCCCAGCGCTGAGACAGGTCTGCCGAGGTTGTTACATTGTATTCATGTTTCTAAATCCGGGGTCAATTCTCAGTCCTCATCACCCTTGACCCTTCCCGCAGCACATTTAAAATGGATGCCTCCTCCTGTTGGAAAGGCTTTCTTCACTTTGGCCAGATCTTCCTGGCCATCCAGTCCTCTCTCCACCTCACTGGCCACACTTTTGCAGCCTCCTTCTTGCCCCTCCTCTATCTCCACAACCTGTAAATCCTGAGGGCCCCCAAAGCCAGTCTGGTCTCTTTCTCCTCTGCATCCACACTCACTTCCTTTAGGCACCATCCAGGAGGTGGAATATTTTCTGTCAATGCTCTCCACACTGACAACCCCGACACTGATTTTTCCAGCCTAGGTCCTGGCCAGCAACACCAGACTTATCCATCCAGCTGTTTACTACTTGATGACTCTGCGTGGGGGACTCACAGGCATCTCTAACTTAGCATGTCCAAACATGGACTCTTGACTTCCACATCCCCCACCCCACACTTCCAACTTTCCAGTCTTTCAGACTATAGTAAAAGATGATGACATCATCCTTGATTGCTCTCTTTCTCTCTTATACTCTACATTCAATTTGTTAATTGTCACCTTCCATTAAATTGTATCTAGAATTGCTTGATTTCACTCACCAAGTTCAACCTGTTTTTAATAATCTCTTGCCTGCTATAGTGGTCTCTCACGGGTGTCTCTGCGTCCACACTGGCCTCTGTTGGAGTTTCCTTGTAGCGTAAATAGTCACCAGAGCCTGTGCTTCAAGATCTAGATCTGCCTGCCAGCCCATGAAGCAGGTCTCCCGTAAAATTCTGTAGCATCTGTTCAGAAAGAAACTGATCACGCAGATGTGCATGTCGCCCATGCTGGGATGGGGTTTTGTTTATCAGGCACTGTATTTGTTTCCCATTGTGGCCATAACTGCCATTAAATCAGTGATGTGAAACAACATAAATGTATTATCTGATAGCTCTGTACATTAGGAAGCCCAACATGGATCCGCCTGGGCTAAATCCAGATGTCTGCAGGGCTGCATTCTTTCCTGAGGCCTAAGGAGACTCCATTTGCCTTTTCCAGCTTCTAGAAACCACTACTTTCCTTGGCTTGTGGCCCCTTCCTCCATCCTCAAGCCAGCATCGTTGCATCTCCTACCCTCCATCCATCTTGGCACTTGTTCTTACCAAAGCCAGAAAGTTCTCTGCTTTATGATTCCATGATTAGACTGGATGATCCAGGACAGTCTCCCACCCTGCTGTCCTGCCCTTCTATTGAGCATCTGCAATGTCCTTTGCCATGTAAGCATATATTCAAGGTTTGGGAATTAGGGCATAGGCATTCCTGGGCCAGCAGGCACGAAGCTCAGGAGAGGGCTTCCCTGTCTTTTCACGTCAAAAATCCTCTCTATCATGGAAGAGAATGAACAGAGTCTCCTGGGACTGAGGCCTCACCTGAGCTCCTCAGTTGCTCCAGGTAATCTTTAAACTTTTATCCTTAACATTTCTATATACATTTTAAATATCCATAAATACAATATATCTACACTTGTTTTGACATGGAAAATGTTTTTAATTGCTTGCACCTAATTACTGCAATATTCCTCCTCCCCAAACTGGTGCCTCTTCTTCTTGTTGCCAGTAGATACAGCACATTTTTCAGCAACTATAATCTTAGCTACTCCACCACCCTCATTTTGGTAATCTCATTTTCACCTGAGGCCGGTAATATCTAGGAACAGCACAGTCTGGGCCAAGGTTCTGAGATGCTAATAATGGTTTTCTGGCACCAATCATTGAAAGGAGGATAACATTTGGGCAAAGGATTCCTTGGCCTTGTCGACAAATCAGGTGGAGAAACTGCCCTCGTTGTAATTAACCCAGCTGGCACTGGGTGTGGGGGTGCAGGGCCCTGCCCAGGCAGTGGGGAACCAGACATGTGAACTAATCGCATGACCACTGTGTCCCCGGTGTGCGTGGAATGTCCTGAGGGGTGTGAACCCCTTTGCAGATCAAAGTGAGGTCTGGGATCATCAACAAAAAGGGACTCGGAGCTGTGAGAGGAGGTGAATCTCAGGCCTGCTGAACTGGGTATCTGCATTCTAGCAAGATCCTCAGCCCATCAGAGCTTGAGAGTGTTGCCTAACCTCCATTCCTTCATGAATCAATCATACATTGATTATCCAGCTTGTGCTTAGTACAGGATGCAAAGACTGAGTCAGACCCAGTGCACACCCATAAGGGCTTCAGCCCTATGATCCAAATAAAGGCTCTCCATTTGCTTTGGGAACCTGGGATCAAAGAGCCTTAAAGAGGGAAAGCAGTAGGAGGTTCCTCCTGGGAGGAGGCATCTTGGCTGGTCTTGAATGATATGGGGATTTCACCAGATGGGAGAGGACAGAAGGCATACCTGGCAGTGAAGGAATAGGTGAACAAAGCTGTGGTATCATCTGTCACAGGCAAGGGGACATAGTATATTAGTGTCCTCTAGACTGCTAAGGTAACATGCGCTTTTGAGCAACAGATTCATTTTCTCTACAGATCTGAAGGCTAAAGTCCAGATCAAGGTGTTGGTATGTTGGTCTTCTGTGGGCCTCTCTCTCCTGGCTTGCAAATGCCTGCATCTTCTCCTGTGTCTTCATGGGGTCTTCCTCTGTGTCCAAATTTCTTCTCAGGAGGACACTGGCCATATTCATTAGGGCCCACAGTAACCTCTATTTAACTGAATTACCTTCTTTTAACACCTGTCCCAAATACAAATGCACATGTACTGGGCTAACACTTGACAAATTTGGAGGGGGTGGGGGTCACAGTTTACCCACACTGCAGTGTAAGGGAAATGAGGGTGGGAGTGTGTAGGGCCTGAGACACTTCCAGTGCCAGGTCCAGAAGCTTGCAGTTTCTCTTCAAGGCTGCAAGGAGCTACAGGGTGTTACAGGTGGAGTAGGAGTGCAGCACCATCAGAGCTGTAATTGGAGTTCCAGGCCTCAGGTTTATAGCAGACAAAGGCTCACCATCACCCCCAATTCAAGGGGGTGAATCAGGCATGGTCTCTACTCCTTGCAGAGAGTTTGGGGACTTCCAGGGCCCAGTGGGGCTTCCTCACCGCAGTTTCATCATCAGCAAATGGACTCAGTACATGATGTAGCATTTCCTGACCCAAGGATCCAGCAGCTTATGGGATTTTGGAGGGACCTGTACCAGCACCTCCGTCTTCAAGTTGTGCATTTTTTTCATGGTTTAATTATTTACCTTCTTTTCACTTTTTTATATTATGAAAATTCAAACCTATAGAAGATAGACAGAAGAGTATCATGAATACCTATGTACTCTATTACTCAGATTTAATAAATCTTAATACTTGTCATGCTTCATCTATTTTTCAAGAATTTATGTAAAATATACAAACTTTCATATTCATCCTCAATAGTTCAGCGATTCCTAATAATCACAATACCATTAGTACAATTTAACAGATTAAAAAAAAAAGTTTTTTTGAGGCAAGGTCTCACTCTGTCACCCAGGCTGGAGTGCAGTGGCACAATTATGGTTCTTGCAGCCTCAACCTCCCCAGCGCAACCATTCTTCTCACTTAGTCTCCCTGCACAGCTGGGACCACAGGCACACACCACCACCTGGCTAATTATTTTTTAATTTTTAAAGACAAGGTCTTGCTACATTGCCCAGGCTGGTCTCAAACTCCTGAGCTCAAGCCACTTCCTACCTTGGTCTCCAAAGTGCTGGGATTGCAGGCATGAGCCACTGCGCCCAGCCTCTAACAAAATGAAAAATAACATGTCCTCATAATAATCAATTTGCCCTATTCCGAAGTCTCCCCTCTTAGCTCCCAATAAAACAAGTTCTATCTCTGAAATTTGTAAGTATCATTAGAAAAAGATCAAATCCATAATAGCAAGAGGATATAAACATTGATATATATGGATACAGTATTTATATACACTTTATTTTAAAAATTATGTCAGATTTTAAGACATGTGGAAAGAATGTCTGCAGGTGGCTGACTCCCGTGAGGCAGCACGGTAGCGTGGTTAGTTTGCCCAAGGCTTCGTGAGCTTTGAAGGGTTTTGCACGTTGCAGAGGGCAGGCCCACGTGGAGGGTTGCATGGCCGCAGGGCATCCTGGAGTGAGGTGACTGAAGTGTGGCCTGAGCCCAGGCTGCAGACAGGTGGTTTCCTGGGCCTGGGCCTCTTTCCCGCTGCTGTACTTCCTCCCCTTTCCTCCCATGAGATGGGCTGTACTGGTTCCCTGTGAGCCTCAGCCTCATGACCCTGTAGGGAGTGAGGCACACGGCCGACTTCTGAACAGGAACAGCCCTGGTCGGGAACCCAGGGTTGAAAGTCCGCAAGCAGAAATCGCAGCCAGGCCACAGGGCTGCACACTCACCACCTCTCAGACTGAGATACAGGTTGCAGACGGACACAATTAATGATTGTCACTAGTCATCTACTGAGCCTTTGCTGTGTGTTAAGTATTGTTGTGAGCTACTGATTTCATCCTAAAGAACTAATAAGCCTGTGCAGATTATTCTCTTGCTTGAGTTGATGAGGAAATTGAAGCTCAGAGTAATTGACTTGCCCACAGACACACAGTGAGTCAGCAGAGACTTGACTCGCTTCTGTGTGACCGCAGAGACTACACCACATGAGCTTTGGCTGCCCGCAAGATTTACGAGAGGGAGGCAGAGGAGGGATCTCAGGGAAGCTTTTCATGTGTTACATTTGAGATGGGTCTCTTAAGGACAGAATGGAGTTCACATAAGAGAAGGAGAGGAGAAAGGGTAAACGGTAAAAAGAAACCAAGATGGCCAAAGTTGTGAAGGCCGGCAGGAGAGGTTCCTTAGAGGGGCCTTATCAAAGCTCCCACTGTTCACGCAGGCCCTCTGGTCCTCCAGTGGCCGGGACAGGCCGCTGCCCTGCTTCTGGTGGGTCAACTACAGAGGGTGCCTGGGAGGCGCCTGCAGCAGCTTCAGAGGTCACCAAGCTACCCTCCTACCTGTGCACCATCCTCAGGTAAGGGTCTGGGCCACCCCACCACTCCACCATCCCCACCCTTCTCAACCTCTGGGCCCAGAGTCCTGGACCAGACACTGAGTGGAGAGGCACCACAGTCGCATCCAGCTGCCTTGTTCACAGAGCCAGTCCCCTCAGACAGATGGGGAAAAGCAAAAGAGTTTCAGTCCCTGCCATTAGGGGTTGCAGGCTGGTGGGAGAGACGACAGAGTGTGCAGAAACAAACCACATGGCTATGAAATTGTGGAGTGCATACTGTGATGAAGAGAAGAGCGATGTTTGTAGATCAGTGGTTTCTGATTTTTTTTTTTTTTTTTTTTTGAGACAGAGTTTCACTCCCAGGCTGGAGTGTAATGGCCAATCAGCTCACTGCAACCTCCACCTTCCAAGTTCGGGCGATTCTCCTATCTCAGCCTACTCGAGTCACTGGGATTACAGGCACACATGCACTCACACCCAGCTAATTTTGTATTTTTAGTAGGAGACGGTTTCCATGCTTGGTCAGGCTGGTCTCGAACTCCCGACCTCAGGTGATCCACTTGCCTTGGTCTCCCAAAGTGCTGGGATTACAGGTGTGACCCACTGCGCCCGGCCGGTTTTCAAACAGGAGGGTGCATTAGAATCACCTGGTGGGCTGTTAAAACAGATTGCAGGGGCCCATCCCCCAGATTTTCTGATTCAGTTGATGAAGGTGGGTGGGACCTGAAAATCTGCATTTGTAACAAATTTCCTGGCGATAACAGATGTTGGGTCTGGGACCACACTTTGAGAACCACTGTTGTAGAGTGAGAAGAATAGGGAATGTTAATTTCAATTGGGAAATCGGGGAAGCCTTCCCTGAGGAGGTGATAATTGAACTGTCATCTGAATTATAAATATTTGAATAAACAAAGGAAAGGGGTGAATGAGTAAATGAATAAATGAGAGAGTGAAAGAGTGAGTGAATGAGTGAGTGAATGAATGAATGAGTGAATGAGTGAGTGAGTGAATGATGAGTGGACTCAGGCTGATTTCTAATGCTCCTCCTAACACTCCTACCCCCACCACCATTCAGACTTAATGGACTGGCTGGGGAAGAGGCACCCTCCTTTCCTCCGGGACCCAGCCCCTAGCCAGGGCAGTCTTAGAGGGGACGCTGCTCAGTACTGGCTAATAAGCTCCAACTCAATCTAGAGGTCTGCTGCTGGGGGTAAGGGGTGGAAGGTGATGGAACCCTCTGGAACTTTCTTCATGCATCCCACCCCACTGGAGCCATCACTGCCACCTGCTGGTCACTGACATTTTTTTTCTTCTTTTCCAAGGTGGAGTGGCTTTTCTGGACTGATTGGGAGATGGGACCCCCTTTTCTGTGGTGGAAAGTGACTAGCGTGGTAGACAGAGCTCTGGGATCGCATCCACTGGCTATGCAACCATAGGGAAATAACCTCCCCTCCCCAAGGCTCGCCTGAATAAAGGGCATGACCAAGAGGGCTCTAAGGACCAAGCTGGGCACAAGTGGCAGGGATGGGGTGTGTGGACGATGTAAACTGTGGAGTGCAGTGCACACCAGGTGCTTGTGTGCTGGGCTGGTTTTCTCCACTTGTGCTCTGAATGAACCTTGGCTGGGTCCCTGCTCTGGGCTTGGCTTCATGCTACCTGGTGCTAGGGACAGAGGCTCCTTACACTGGGCCCTGACTTTTAAGGGCCTCCAGGCTGGTAGCAGAGACAAGTCTGGAAACAAATCACTGTCCAGCATGGGCATCGCCAGAGGGAGGCAAGGACATAAAGCCAGAGACTTGAAATCACCTCCCAGAGCCTCCTGTCACTATCTGTCACTGGCCCTTTCTGTGCTCAGTTTCCCCTTCTAGGATAATCATAGCAAATATTTACATCCCGTTTACTTGCTCTGTGCAGTCACTGAGTGCTTTACACGAATGAATTCGTCAGTCCTCACCACAGCCCATAAGGCCAGTACTATCATTATTAAATTGACTCAGGGAGATGAAATCACTTGCCCGATCACAAGGTACTAATGGCAGCGCCACAGCTCTACCCTCCCACTGGGCCATCTCAGGTTTTGCCTGTGCACTGAGTGGTTGGAAGGCTTGAAGGCAGTTGGGAGCTATTTTTCAGTCCTGCCTGATCATCAGACTAGCCAAGGGTGCTTGGAACCACACAGATTCCCTGGCCACCCTTTACCCACTGGCCAGATGGCTAGAGGGGTGGGGATGGGGGAGGAGAGGGGTGAGGAATCTGTATTTTAACAAGTCTTGAAAATTGGGCCAGTTTGGAAAATCCTAAGATAGTCACTGAAAAGTGGCCCACTGTAAGCTCAGTGCAATGTGGCTGAACCAGGGAGAGTGTTTTGGCTGTAATTAACAGAAATTCCCATTTAAAATGTTTTATCTGTTAAGGAAATGTATCATTCTATGTCTCTGCCTCATATCTCTTTGTAAGAACTTTTCAAAGGAGAGAATGTCTTTCCCAGAAGCCCCTTTCCCCAGAAAACTTCCCCTCACATCTCATTGGCCAGAAATGTCACATGACCCTCCCCCATCTAAATCAATCACTGGCCAGAGGAATTAGGTCAGTACTGTTGGCCTCAACCAATCAGAAGCCAGGCTCTGGGGAAACATGGCTTTTTGGAAGGAGTTGGATTATTGAACAAAATAAGGATTCTGCCTACACAAAAAAGTGGGTGAGTCCCAAGTGACTCACCTACTGTACCTGGGTTAGTTGCTAGAGTTAGGAATAGTAGGGCTATAAACGAGGGCTGTATGAGGTATTGCAGGAGCACCAAAAAGGAAGCAAAGGGCTCTGCCTGGAGAAGAACCATGGAGGACTTCCTGGAAGGGGCATTAGAACCTGGTCTTACAGGATGAAGAGTTCATCAGTAAATCAAGGTTTCTAGCAGCCAGGTTCCCGTACCTTCCACTAGGTTCTGCCCCCTGTCCAAGGCCATCCAGCAAGACCGTCCATTCTGTTTACCACCCACAGGCCTGAAGATAAAGCCAAGGGGCTGGTGGTCCTGATCGATGCCAGGAAACAGCCCCCCCAGCCTGGTCTGGTCAGTGCCCTGCAGGCCACCCAGGTGAGTGGGAGGTGGAGAGCCTTAGCCTAGTAAGTCCTGGAAGCCTCCAGGGGCCTCCTGACATTCACAGAGCCCAGGAGTGCTTAGGGCTGGGACCAGGACTCTCAAGCAGGGACTTTTACCGCAGACAACAGAAAACGCAGCCCTAACAAGTTTGAAGCTCATTGGTTCATGTCACTGGACAGTCCAGGAGCCAAGTCCAGTTTCAAGTATGGCTCGATCCAAGGGCTCAGCTATTGTGACTAGAATCTGGTTCCTCTCTCTCCATTTCTGACCCTGTTCTCTTTGGAGGATGCCAAGCCACCCCGCTTGGCACCCTGTGCCCCTTGGTGGCCGGATGGCTCCCAGAAGCTCTGACTTCACATGGTCTCTAATTTAAATCCACTAGGAAAGAGTAACAGATTATTTTCCCAGAGGTCTTAGCAAACATTTATTTGTGTCTCAGTTATAGTGGGTTCAGGGGTCCCTCCACACCCAACCCTGTGGCCTGGGGGTGAATGCTACACACTGATTGGCTTAGACTTATATCACATAAAGCTCATGAGCTGAGAAGGGAGAAGAGATTCCTATCCAGCCATTATGGGCAGCAGAGTCAATGGAGGTTCTGCATCTGCTTACCTTATGGTCTGACCTCCTTCGCTTTGTAGATGGAGGCCCAGAGGGGCAGGTCATCTAGAAAGGTTTGCAACGCAGCTTGAACCTGCTGCTCTCATGACTTCCAACCAATGATTCACAGTCCAAACATATCACACAAAGATCCCAGCCATGGGGGGGCCCCATCCTGTCCTTGTGGCCCATTTGCCTGCATCTTACAGGGGATGAAGGAGGAAATCAAAGTGTGTGAGACTTCATGAAGGCTTGGGCAGAGAACCTCTGCGGTGGTTGTCTTTGACAGGCTCAGGTCCCAGCCTCCATCCGAGCTATTCTCTTCCTGGGGGAGAAGGAGTCGGCTCTCCAGCTGCAGACATTACCTGACATCCAGGTGAGGGGGACTCAGGGTCGGTGGTTGAGGAGGGGAGCTGTTGGGCTTTAGCTGAGCTGGGGTTAAGGGGAGGGAGAACTGCAGAATTCATGAGCTAGAAGAGACCTTGAAATATTCTAGTGTAGGGCAATAAATACGAGGCCTGAGCGCTACCACTCCCCAGTATAGCTCTGTGGCAGGCATCGTCAAATCAGTCACAGAATGATTTCTCTCTGGCTATCCTAGCAACTCCTGGTGGGTGCTGCCACATGATCGAGAATTGCACATGGCATGAAACCTATTTGAAAAGCTTCATCTGGTCCATCCCTCCTCCCTTTCTTTTCAGAGAGGGAAACTGAAGCCTAAGGCCACACAGCAAGCTAGACGCAGAGCTGGAGTCACCTGACTCCAGTGCCTTTTTCACACTGCGGTCAGACCTGCTCTTCCTGTATTTCTCGCCCTAATTAATACAAATGTGGAGCTGAAGTGGGACTTTGCAGGAAAGAGCCCTGCAGCTCCCTTTAATTAGTGCCATACACCACAATAATGAGTATGGGCAGTCAGTCCTCTGTCCTGCTTCGGGATGTGATTTTCAAACTCTCCTTCCTTCTGGTGAGTGACGAGGCACATTGTGGGTTGAGATGTGCTTTTCCAACTTTAATGTGCTTGCTGATCTCTTGGGGAAATACATTAATGTGCAGGTTCTGATTGAGTAGTTCTGGATGGGTCCTGGGACTCTGAATTTCCAACATGCCCTAGGTGATGCTGGTGCTGCTGGCCCATGGACCACACTTTGAGTAGCAGGAATATCAGGTGGGTCCAAAAAAACCACAGAATCCACCGAATCCCGAGCCTAGGTACTGGAGCTATTCCCAACATAAACCTCAAATTTCTCTGCCTGGGAGAAGCAGTCACCTAGTTCTTATTCCATCTCTTAGGGGACACTGTTGGGATTTAGTGACTTTTCTCACCAGCCCCAAGAAAGAAACAGCTCTTGGTGGCTCCTCAGGGAACTGTGCAAGGATTACAAAGAAGTTTCATCACAAGGGCCAGCTTCATTCTGTTCGTGTGATTGCCCGGAGAGCTGTACTGGGAAGGAGCCAAGCTCAGAGGGAGCGAGTGCTATGATTGATTAATGATGTCTGCCTTGGGCACAGGCTGGGAGAGTGGCAGTATGAGTGCTGTTTATTTGCCATTCCTTAACTAGGGTCTGGTTCTGAATTTTTGATTTGTAAGAGTTTCCAGAGAATATTGGTTGCCCACAAAGCAACTTTTAAAGCTGGAGTCAGCCTTACTTCTGGGAGGTGAACTGGTGCTGGGGCAGGGATCTGGGCAGGACCTTCTAAAATGACTGTCCTCACATTGAGTCCCTGGTTCTCCTGATTCTTTGGTCTGCAGGTGGAGGTGCTGACCTCACTGAAGGCCCTCAGCCACCATGTGGACCCCAGCCAGCTGCCTGCAGCCCTGGAAGGCCGCTTCCCCTACTGCCACACCGAGTGGGTGCAATTCTTCCAGGTGTTTACCATCACAGCCTTTAGTCCCTGACCTCCACTCCTTCCCCTCCTCTCTTCACTCTTCTGCCTCATGGATCCATCAACCCCGCTATGCTAAAAAATGAACAGTCACTCAACAAATGTTTACAATGAAGGTACAGAGTAGAATGATTAAGAGCTCAGGCTCTGGGGCCAGGCTGCGTGCATTGCAATCCCAGCTCTGCTGTGTGATTTTGGATAAGTTACTTACCTTCTCTGAGCCTTGGTTTCTGCATCAGCTAAATAGGGGATAATAACAGTACCTCCTCATGGGGTTTTTGTGAAGATTAATTTAGTTAATGTGGGCAAAGAGCTTAGAAGAATGTCTGGCACATAAGAGCTATGTCTATGTTAACTGAAAATAAATTTACAGGGCTGGGCGCTGTGGTTCACACCTGTAATCCCAGCACGTTGAGAGGCCGAGGTGGGTGGATCACATGAGGTCAGGAGTTTGAGACCAGTCTGGCCAACATGGTAAAACCTCATATCTACTAAAAATACAAGAAAGAAAAAGTTAGCCATGCATGGTGGTATGCACCTGTAGTCCCAGCTACTCGGGAGGCTGAGGCATGAGAATCACTTGAACCCAGGAGGCGGAGATTGCAGTGAGCCAAGATCACACCACTGCACTCCAGCCTAGGTGGCAGAGTGAGACTCTGTCTCAAAAATAATCATAAAATAAAATAAAATAAATTTGTAGGCACTTGCTCTGTGGACCCACACAACTCAGGAAGCTCAGGATCTGGTTCCCTCCAATCAGAGGGAGGAAATAAGGCAGCCGCCAGTGCTGGGCTCCTTTCCTGTGTAATCACAGTCCCTCCTCCCCACAACCCCAAGAGGGGGCATTTCATACCCAATGTAGTACATGAGGACACATAGGGCGAGGGTGCCTTTCAGTGGGCTTAAACCACACCGAAACCCGTGCCCATCAATGACCCTGGCTTCTCTTAGACCAGGGTTGTTCAACCTTAACCTATTCACATTTGGGGTCGAGCAATTCTGTTTTGTGCATTGCGACATGCTAGGCACCAGCCCCGGCTCTACCCACTGTTCGCACCCCACAAATTATGACAATTAAAGAATGTCTCCTCACATTGCCGAATGTCCCCGGGGGGCAAAGTCACCCCTCATTGAGAACCACTGGTCTATACTAACAGTCTAACATGGTGGCTTATTTACTTTTTGCCCAGGTGATTTTTTTAAAAATTGTGTGTTTTTGAATAGGCAGTAAGTATATTCACATTTCAAATGGTACAAAAAGATACCTACTGAACAATTCCCTTTTCTGCTTGTCCCCCAGGGTCCTAGCTTCCCTTTCCAGAGGCCTCCAATGAATCCACTGGGTTTTGGACTGTATTTTAGCTTTAAACCCTTTACTTTACATGAAATGTTACCTATAGACCCACTACATAGATCTGAGAATGACGATAAACACAGTACGGGCTGGGCTCTGTTCTAAGTGCCTTGCAAATATTAATGGGTTTAATCCTGACACAACCCTATAAGGCAGGAACTACTATGGTCTCCATTTTAAAGAGGAGGAGGCAGAGACACAGAGAGGTTAAGTAACTTGCCCCCCAAGGCCTCACAGCTTGTAAGTGATGGAGCTGGGCTGAAGTGGGACTCAGCCAAGAATGTTCCCCTAACTCTGCCCTCTTCCTCCCCTTACCAACCATGGTATCCCCACCGGCCTGGGAGTCGCTCAGGCCTGTCTCCTTTCTTCTCCCTCACTCACATTCAACACCAGTGGTTCTCCAAGTGTGGTCCCCCAGGCCAGCAGCATGAGCAATGCCTGGGAACCCATTAGAAATGCACTTTCTACCATGCCTCGCCCCAGAGGAACTGAAGCAGACACTCAGGAGCAGAGCCCAGAGCCTGTGTTTTAACCAGCTCTCTGGTGCTTCTGATGCACCTGGAGTTGGAGAGCCACTGCTTCCCACCACCCCTGTGCGCTCCTGGGATGGAAGAGGCATCCTCTGGGTTGGCCTGGACTGACACCCACCCTCTGGTCCTCTGTCCTGCAGAAGCTGGACCCTTTCCTTGCTGACCTCCAGCAGGCCTCTTCCCTGCTACGAGCTTCCATCGAGGAATTCGAGAAGGCCGACCCCCCTGGCGGGATGCAGGTGAGCCTGGAGCACGGTGGGTAGGGAAGCCACACTACATCCCAGACTCCAGGGACCAAGGACTTTGAGAAGGGGGCAGCCTGGGGAAAAGGGGGAGGACATTATCATCCCTGTTTTTCATCATTCACTTGACTCATATTTGAGGGGCACCCACTTTGTACCCTGCACTGGAGACCAGCCTGGGGCGAACTGACTTGTCCCTGCCCTCTCGGGGTTCATGGTGCTGCGGCAGAAGTGGTAGTTTAAAAAGCAAACACATAAATGGGTATGTCATTCCAAATTGTGTCAAGTCCTGTGGAAGTAAGATTGGGAGTAATGAGGGAGGAGGGTCTCTCGGAAGAGCTGGAGTTTAAGTTGAGGCTTGAAGTTTGAGAAGGAGCCTGCCTTTGTTGGGGGCTGTGCGCCAGGCAGGGGGCAAACACTTGCAAAGGCCCTGAGGTGGGATTATACCTGGGGTGTTCAGGAGTAGCAAGGAGGCCAATGTGCAGCAGAATGAGTGGGAGAGAAGCACGAGTGGAGCTTCTAGATGCAGCGGGAGCTGGACCAAGGAAGACTTGGTCTGGGATTCAATTTGAAGCCTGCAGGGAAGCCACTGGAGAGTTTTAAACCAGGGGTTATCAGATTTGCGGAGATCCGTTCAACTGCCATATGGAGAATAGACTGTAGGGGGAGCCAGAGGGCAGCAGGGAGATCAGTGAAGAGGCTGGAATGGGTGTCCCAGCAAGAGATGCTGGAGGGTGGACCAGAGAGGTTGCCATGGTGATGAGAGGGGGCATGGCTACAGGGGATGTTTTAGAGACAGAAACGACAGACTTTCTGGAGGACCTTGAATGCCAAACTGGGAGTTGGACTTGATCTGGGTGTGGGGAGCCTTGGAAGGTTGCAAAGGGAGAGTGGGGATGGGGCCTCAGGGCACCTCTCTACGCTGGCAGGAGGCCACCAGTTGCCTGAGCAAGTCCAAGGAGCTGATGGAGGCTGTGCTGAGGGACCCGGGCCTACTGGGCCTCCAGCGGGAAGGTGGAGCCACCCTGGCCAGGCTGCAGCGTGATGCCAGCAGGCTGGACTTCAGCCCTGATGTCAGGTACAGACAGACGTCCAGGCCTTTCCTCCTCCACCCCATCCTGTTTCTGGCCCAGGAGCTTGGAGTTGGGACCACACCACTTAGGGGTCACATAGCCAAGCCCTGAGGGTGCCCAGCTTTGCAGTCGTTGCAGGGCCTGTATCCCAGGCTGAGGCCTGGTCACAGAAACCCATCCTGAGCCCTGGCAATTTCCTCACCCCTTCTCTGCTTCCCCTCCTTCAGCCCCAGCCATCTCGAGCCTGGGATGGGCATCGGAGGATGTCGCCTACCCATTTCTGGTCACCCTTTTGGACAAAGCACTTTCTCCGACCCACACACCAGGTTGAGCCCCTGCAAGAGCCTGTCTCATTTATTTCTGGCAAGAACCCTGTGAGGTGCACATTGTCCATTTGGCTGATGGATAACTGAGGCTCAGCGAAGGGAAATAGCTGCTAGGCAGCAGCTGGTCGGGGATTTGAAGCCAGGCCTTCTGGGCATTTAACCCCTACCCGGCCCTGCCTTTCCCAGTAGGCTGCTCAAACACACTTGTGAGCAGAGCCACAGGGGTCTCAGAGCCAGAAGAAATTACAGGCATTCCTGGAAAGTTCCAGCTTTCTTAAATTTAGGGGGTGGGGGAAAGTCAGTCATTACATTGGTCAGTAATTGCAAATATTTTCACCCTCTTAGAACACAGTTACTTATATTCAAAGTCAAGGGCTGGTATGCATGAGTTTTTAAGAACATTTTATTTACGGAACCAAGACCTAAATAGCACTTTGTATGTGTCCAGCATTTTTCTCAGGGCTTTACAAATACCAACTCATTTCATTCACTCCTGAGGTAGCTGTAAGTATCATCCCTATTTTACAGTGGAAGAACCTGAGGCTCAGAGAGGGTAAGTGATTAGTCCAGGGTTACACAGCTGGGATGTGGTGGGGCCCGGATTTGAATCCAGGCAGTCTGGCCCCAGAATCTTAACAAACCACCCAGAGCTGCACTAGACTTGAGAGCAGGCTCACACAGATGGACGCACAGGCAGCATTGGGTGTGGGGTCATCTCCCTGCCCCTCAGTGCCTGGTGGGGGCTGGCACTGCCTTTCTCAGCCTGTTCCACCTTCACCTGCCTGCCGGGCCCAGGCTCCTCCTGTCCACCCAAGGACTCACAGACCCACAGCTACCAGAAGCTCCAGCAGGGGGCACTGTGGTCCCACATGAGCCGCTGCGGGCGTTTGTTCTGCAGCGGGTCCCTGCAGCCCCAGGCTGTCCGTGTCCCTCCGTCCCTCCCTCTCCAGGCAGGCAGATATTTTCTATCCCACTCACGCACCCTGGGCCCACACCTCTTCCCCGCAAGGGTGGCAACCCGTGGGGAGCTGCAGTCAGATGGGGAGGCCGAGGTAGAGCAAGGCACCCTTCAGGAAGTTAAAAGCTTTTCTTCCACCTTCTCTCTTCCATTTTCCCTCTGAAAGCAGAGCCTCTGAAGGCAGAGGAGGGCAGAGCAGGGTTTGAAATTCCTGCCTTCACGCAAGTATCACTATGCCTGAAATCCCATCCACACTTCTTCCTTAGTGTTTTGTGGCTTTCAGCATTTTAAAAAATTATGTGCAGAAACAGCCCTGGGTGGAGTTGCAACTCAGGCTGCCATCTGCAAGTCATTTCCCCTCCCTTGACCTCAGTTTTCCCATCTGTGAAATGGAAGCAGGGCCGGCAGGCGTGTTGCAGCTACTTCCCACCATTGCTATAGAAATAGCTCGAACCTGACAAACATCGTGCGCCGGGCACAGTGTTAAGTGTTTTGCACGCTGAGCACTGGTTCTTTGCCCTGGCTGCCCCGGAACCGCCTGAGGTGCTTTAGAAAGCATCAGTGTCCCAGCTGGGTGCGGTGGCTCATGCCTGTAATCCCAGCACTTTTGGAGGCCGAGGCAGACACATCACCTGAAGTCAGGAGTTCAAGACCAGCCTGGCCAACATGTGAAACCCCATCTCTACTAAAAATACAAAAATTAGCTGGGCGTGGTGGCGCGTGCCTGTAATCCCAACTACCCGGGAGGCTGAGGCAGGAGAATCGCTGGAACCCAGGAGGCAGAGGCTGCAGTGAGCAGAGATCACGCCACTGCACTCTAGCCTGGGCGACCAGCCTGGGCGACAGAGCGAGACTCCATCTCAAAAATAAAAGGGAAGAAAAAGAAAACATCAGTGTGTTTGCTGCACTCAGTCTGCTGACTTCGTTGGCCTGGGGCGGGGCACTAAGATTTGTTAAAGCTCCCAGGGCAGGTTATAATGTATAGCTGGAGGTGAGGGCCAGGCGCTAGATCATTTAATCCTTACAACCATGCTGTGAAATGGGTTCTGTGATTATCTCCACCTCACAGAAGAAAAAGCAGAGACAGAGGGAGGTTGAGACATTTGCACAGAGCCTCCTACTAGAAGGTAGCAGAGCTGGGCTTTGAACCCAGATCTGTCCGGCCAGCTTCATACCCTTCTAGGGAAGGGGGAGGGTCATTTCACCTCCTACTGTGTTCTCTTGTCCTCCCAGTCCCATGGAAGACCAAGGCTGAGGCCCAGAAAGGTGTAGGGACCTGCCCACAGTGACACAGCAAGTTAGCTGGAAACCCAGGCTGGGGCCACAGAGGTGGAGGGACAGGCCTATGTGGGGCAGAAGTACAGCAGGGTGAAGAGGGCAACACAGGCCTTTTCTCACCTCCGCCCACCTCCCAGGAGCCATCTGGCTGCAGCCACTGCCTTGTACAGCCTTGTGGACGAGCAGCTTCATGTTCTGGTCACCGCATCCAACAGCCTCCTGGGGAAGCTGGAGCTCCGTGTCCGCCTGGGCCGCCTGGAAGCTGCCATTCACCAGGTGAAAGGGGAGTCTGGCTTGGGGTGTGGGGGTTCTGCCTGGCCACATTCCACAGGAAAGCCCAGACTCTGGGCCCGGCCCTAGCCAGGTGCTTTATTCTGGAGAAAGGACACCAGGCTGGCAGTCCTTCAAAGGCCAGGCAGGCATCCTTGGGGCATAGCACATAACATGGTGCTCAATAAGTGCTCAATGAGTGAGAACATGGACCCAAGAGCTGCATTTATTGAGCACCAACTCTGTGCCAAGCCCTGGGCCAAAGCCGTTGTGAACATCATTGCTTTCCAAACTCATCTTGGGGAAGGTGCTAGGATTTCACCCACTGCACAGACAAGGAAACTGAGGCTGGGAGACATTATGTCGACTGCGTGTGGTTGCATATGTTGGAGTCTGATTCTGGAACCTGCACCTGGTGTGGCTTCATCTGACTGCTGGTGCTGAGAACCAACACATTCCTTTCTGCCTGGAGCTGCGGGGCACGGCGTGCTCCTGCATCAGACAGCGCTGGTCCGTTCCCGGCTCCAGAGCTTACTCATGGTGTGGTCCCGGACAAGATATTTAACTCTTCAGTGCTTCAGTATCTTCATTTGTTGAATGGGGGGTGATATTAGTACCTGCTATGTTGGATCTGTGAGGATAAAGTGAGTGAACAGGCTCTTTAAGATGCCCCAGAATAAGAAAGGAACTTCCACTCAGGGGGTTGAGAACCATTATATACCCGCTGTCCCTCATTGAATCTTCATGTCTACCCCGTTTTACCACTGAGTAAACTGAGGCCCAGAAAGGGGGAGTGGCTTACCATGTTCACACAGTGAGTTCCCAGCAGGCCCAGAGACTTTCCTCTGCAGCCTGCAGCTTCTTCTCCAGCACTGTTTGCATGTGCACACGTGTGCACACGCACACACACACGAACAGGAAGCTCATCACCCCTGAGGCCACCCCTTTTATGATCCAGCGTCACTGAGTGGTTAGAGTAGCCTGAAGTTCACCACCCTGTGACTTCATTCAGATAACAGTGTGCACCGAGGGCGTTGGCCAGGCCAGATGCCCTCTGGGGTCCCACTTTGAAGAACATGACCTTGCACTCCCCCTCCGCAAGTCATTTCTTCCCATGCCTAGAACTGGGAGAGTGTCAGTCCAAGCCAGGGGTCACAGGCCTAGCCACTGAATGAGTGAGGACAGAAGACCTCGGCCTCCAAGGAAGTGGGGAAACTGGACAAGGGAGGTCGCCTAGCAGCCCCTCATGTCCAAATCTGCCTCTCCTGCCCCAGGTCAGCGACTGGATGGAGCAGGAAGGAAGTCGGTGGCTGCAAACGCTGACTCCCAAGGACGGAAGTTTGGAGACAGTGGAGAAAGCCCACGCAGAGTTTGAGAACTTCTTCCTCCAGGCTGCAGTGCGTTCCAGACAACAGCGGAGCAGGACTGGAGCAGATGGAGAGGGCATTAGAGGGGGTGGCACTGCCAGGGCAAAGCTGTGGAGGGGGGAAAGAGCAAGGAAACTTCCAGAGACAGTGAGGGAACCAGCTTGGATTGCAGAGTTCAGCCGAGATGTTATCTCCCTCAGGGGTTCTTACCACACGGCCAAGCCCAAAGAATATGCCGAATCCCCCAGAGGGTTTCTTAAAATGCCGTTTCCAGGGCCTCACCCTAGACCTGATAACTCAGCCTCACAGAGCCAGGGGTTGGGGGGCAGGGATGCTGCATCAACATGATGCGATGTGACAAGGCTCCGGACCACAGGGTGATTCAGCCCCGTATCAGCGCTCAGGAATTCTCAGGCCAGTGAGGAGCGAGGGCGGGGGTGGGGACAAACAGGGAAACGTGCACAGAAAGGGAGAATGTGGGGACTCAGAGCAGGAGCCTTTGGAGTCAGAGAAGTTTTCCAGAAGGGACATCTAAGCAGAGCCCGGCTAGGCAAAGTGAACTGCCATGGCGAGGACCTGGAGACTTCCAGAAGCATGATAACTGCTCTTTATTGTTCACCCCTCACCAGGAGCTAAGCCCTGTAAGGTGGGTGCCATTAGGGTCCCCATTCTACAGATGAGGAAACCGAAGCTCAGGAAGTCTCCTGGCTTGGCAGCAGGGCAGCTGGAGGTTGTTGACCTTTGAGGGAGGCCGCAGCCAAGGCGGGAGCTGAGTGAGCACCCCCTCCTCTCCCCTCTCAGGCCCAGTACCGCCGAGGCCTGGAGCTGTCCAAGCAGGCCGCTCAGCTGGGAGCTGCAGCCGGAGGGGCTGGGGAGGCAGAAGGAGCAGAGTTCCCAGAGCTGGCAGCCTTTGCCTCTACCCAGCGGGCCTTCCAGGCTAAGCTGACCCACTTTTACATGGCGGCCGAGCGGCAACGCACGGACCTCGAGACCCTGCTCCACCTGCACCGCTTCTGCAAGAGGGTGAGCCCCGCGGCCCACCTGTACGGATTCCCCGGATCCCCTGGCTGGGGGTATGGTGGGGACAGGGATACCTAGACACAGCCCCATGGCCCACCTCCATAGACAGCCCCCCATCCCCTGGATACCTAGACACAGCCCCCCGCCCACTTGCACAGACACCACCCCCATCCCCTGGCTGGGGGCACAGCGGGGACAGGGATACCTAGACACAGCCCGAGGCTCTTTGTGATTCGCTCCCAAGTCTTGTAACAGGAAAAAAACAGTGGGAAGGAGAAGAGCTGAGATTTGAACATAGATGTGTCCGTGGTGCCCCATGACATGCCTTATATGCTTCCCCAAAGAGAGAAGAAATGATGACAGAGTCCCTTCTCCAAGCAGGCTTGACGACGATGAGGATGATGGGTTGTTGGGAGGGTAGTGCACATTTGTGAGTGTGTACACCACACCAGACCCTCCTGTGGGCTTCACACACCTTACCTGACTTTATTTTCACCATACCTCTTTGATGACAGGGCCCCAATGTTGTTCCCACTTTACAGATGAGAAAACTGCCCAAAGAGGGCAGTGGTGAAGGAGGATTTGATTTAAGAGCTGCCACCCATCCTAAATTCATGTAGCCAAATCTCTCTTTAAAAAAAAAAAAATTTATGGGAAAACTGAGGTCTGTGGGGACAAAGGAGCAGGCTGGGAGAGTGTGGTCCAGCTGGGACAGGGGCCCCCATGGCTGGCCCAGGCCCAGTGCGCTCAGCTACCCCTTGCACTTGCTACCAAGGCCAGAGTATGAGAAAGACCTGCCCCAGCCTCCCAGCTGTCAGGCCGGCCCAGCGTGCAGGCCACAGCGATCACAGGCTGCTTCAGAGGGCAGCAGGAAGGGCCCTGGTCAACTCACACCCGGGGCCCTGGGAGGACAGGGCACTCTCTGTCTCCTTGAGACAGCAGGCAAGGGAGGCAGGTGTCGGCAGTGGCAGCAAAGGGCTCCCCCAGTTCCAGCTGTGTGCAGTTAAGAGCACGATACAGGCAGAATCCTAGCCTTGGAGTCCGGGGCTTCATGTCCTTGAGTGAGTTCTGTGACCTCAACCACCGTCTTCACTGCTCTAGGCCTCAGCTCTTTGCTAAGACCATAGTTAATGGTTGTGTGGTTCTTATGATGAGCAAGGCCCTGTTCTAGTCATTTCACATATTGTTTTATTGTCGCCCCAATCCTATGAGGCAGGTACTACTATTATGCCCGTTTCCACATAAGGAAAGAGACAGGTCAGATAACTCACCCAGGGTCACACAGCTAACCGAGTGGGCAGAGATTCAAGCCCAGACCATCTGGCTCTACTGCCAGCCTTACCAGGTAGTGACAGATTTCAATGGAAGTAACCCCTGGCACAGGGCTTTGTTCAAATTCAGAATTATTATTAACATCAATATTATTATTATCATTAGGAGGAGGAAGAAGAGGAGTAGTGCCTCCAGGGTTAAGGACATCTGGAAGCTTCTTTGCCTTGCCCACTGATTTCAGCCAATTCCAGCCTCATTGGCCTTCCTGGATCAATCAAACATGCTCCAGCTCTGAGGCCTTTGCATGTGCTGTTCCCTCAGCCTAGGAAGCTCTTCCCATTTACCGGCTGGCTTCTTGTCTTCTGCTCTCAGCTCACAGACGCCCTTTCTGACCACCCACCCCTGTCTCTCTCATCACCCTGTTTTGTCACTTCTGGGTGCTCACTTTGATCTGAAGTTGTCCTGGTGCTTGTCACTCACTTGTCTCTTGCATGGTGTCCGCGAGGTGAGCTCCCTGAGGCAGGGACTGGGTCCGAGTTGGTCCTAGCTCTATCCACGGTTCCTGGCACAGGCTCGGCCCACAGGGGCTCAGGGAGGCTGTGCGGAGAGTCAGGATAGGCTGGAAGCCTGGGGATGGCCTGTGTGGAAGTGGTGTCTGTGCCAGGCCTAGAAGTCATACAGAGGAGGAAGCAACCCTGACTTTGAGTCCAGCTCTCACTGTTGGATCTGGGCTGGCCCTGTTTCCTCTCTGGCGCTGAATTTCAATTCGTTCCACAAGGGGTTGGGCAAGATGATTTCTGAGGTGCTATCCATCTCTGTCCAGCTTAGCCTGGAAGGTCAAGTCCTGGACAGACAGACAGATGATGGGACAGCCCAGCACCAGGCTCAGCCCCTGGTGGGGAACGTGTGTGCAGCAGCTTTGGTCCTAAATAATAATAACACAATGGTGCCACTAACGGAGATTTATGGAGCTCTTTCCCGGCCATGAGCTCCGTGTGCTTGCAAGAATATGAAGCCATTTATCTAAAGACAAGTTCCCTTAATCCGTGGAAAGATGGTCTCTTCGGAGAAAATGGTTCTCCAATCCCTACAGCCTAACAGCTCGCTGTCGTGTTCTAAATTAATGGAGAGAAAGATTATGTTTTTCACGAGCTGCTGGGAATGTGTTGCCTTCTTTGCAGTCTGCAGACATTTTGTGGGGGAAGCGGGGACAGACAGAATCACAAAATGGGGCAGAGGCTCGGTTGGAGGGAGGGGCCTCCGAGCCTGGTGTGGCTGACAGTCTCGAGGTGTGATGGTGAGGGCACACCCCTGCCCGGCCCGTTTCTCCTTCTGCCCACTGAGGTGCTTGGAAGACAGATCTGAGTGGAATCCTAGCTCCTTCCTGACTTGCTGTGTGACCTAGGGCAAGTGAGTTCACTTCTCTGAGCCTCAGTTTTCTTCTCTGTGAAATGGGCTGCTGGTGCAGTTCAGTGTGATCCTGCCTGAGACACACAGAACCTGGCACATAGTCAGCGCTCAATAAACATTAGCCAGACTCTCCCTCACAGCACTCACAGGGGTTAATACAACCACGGATAGGAAGTTCACCTCTCCAAAGGCTTTTCATGCTCATCTAGTGCAACTTCCATTTTACAGAAGAAGAAACTGAGCCCCAGAGAGAGCTAAGTCCCTGCTGGCCCGTAGGTCTATTAGAACGTGTCTGATGGGCTGGGTGCGGTGGCTCATACGTATAATCCCAGCACTTTGGGAGGCCAAGGCGGGTGGATCACCTGAGGTCAGGAGTTCGAGACCAGCCTGACCAACAAAGTGAAACACTGTCTCTACTAAAAATACAAAAATTATCTGGGCATGGCAGCAGGTGCCTATAGCCTCAGCTACTCAGGAGGCTGAGACAGGAGAATTGTTTGAACCCAGGAAGCAGAGCTTGCAGTGAGCCGAGATCACGCCACTGCACTCCAGCCTGGGCGATGGAACGAGACTCCATCTCAAAAAAAAAAATAAAAAAAAAAAGTGATGATCCTCAGGGTGCTTGGGGGCTGTTTCCAGATGGCAGGTGTGTGAACCCCAGGGAAGAGAGGGAAATCAGGATCATCATGGTCAGTGGAGAAGATCATGGCCAAGCCGAGCGGGGCCCTGGCATGGGACATGTATTAATTCAGTCCTCCACAGTCCCACTTCCAGCCTGAGTCCCCACCTCCCTCTCTTCTTGTCCCCTAGATGACCTGGTTCCACATGGACTGTCAGGACCTGATGGCCCAGCTCAGGCTGGACAAGGCCTCAAGGGTCAGTCCTGGGGACCGGCGCCGCCTCCACCGCTACCTGCAGCGACTGGCATCTGAGTTCCCTGCTGAGAAGCTCGCAGCCGTGGGGCTGCAGGTGGCCTCCCTGAGCCGGGCGGGCCTGGGCCAGGAGCTCTGGGAGGAGGCCCGGATCAGGCATGAGGAGATCCGGATGCTCCTGGAGAAGGCACTGACCTACTGCTCTTGCCCAGAGACTCCCACTGCTCACTCAGTGCGACCAGAACGAAGAGGGGCGGCGGCCAAGGGCCAGGGTCTGAGTGTAGAGGTCGCTTCTAAGGGGAGGTGGGACCAGCCCCCACTAGACTCACTGGGCAGGGACCGTTTGCCAAAGTCCTGTTGGCCTCCTGGGGCCCCCAGAGGGGAACAGAACAGAACTTTCCAGGCAGACTTTCCACCCCAGGAAGCTGGCCGGGCTGCAGAGGCTGAAGATGGCAAAGGCGCCCACGAGCTCCCTGACTCTGCTCACGAGCATTCGCTGGCCACCACCTTCTTCTGGCAGCAGCCCCCAAGGCAGAGCCAGGTCCCTCGCCCCACTGGGGGCAGCTTCTCCTCAGAGGGGACAGACTCGCAGACATCCCTTGAGGACTCACCCCAGACGAGTCCCCTTGCCTCCCTCTAGCTGACAGCCCCCTTCAGTGGCACCAGCCTCCGGGAGCACTGGGACAGGGCCCAGCTGGAGGGGTAGCTGGGAGCTCTGGTCAGTCCCAGTGAGACGTCGCCATGGAGCACTGGTTCTACATTCTGCCTCTGCTGGGATGGTGAGAACTGTCGACCCGCCTCTGGCTCCAGAAAACTTCTGGAAGACCCGCTCCTCACCCATGCAGAGTAGCGAGAGTGGGCGTCAGAACCAGGGCGCAAAAAAGCGTGTGATAGGCTCCATCCCTCCAGGCTCTCACTGTGGAAAGAACTGTTGGCACAGACCCCTCCAGAGGTCTCCCTCGCAGGCAGGCAGACACCCACCTGTAGCTCAGGAACATACACAGCTCTCCTCTCGGCCACGAAGTCCAGCGTTGCCCTCATACAGAATCTTTGGGGAGATTCGGGAGTGGTTCCTTGTCTTGGATTCCAGGAAAATGTACCCTGAGATGAGGATTTAAGGATCAGTGTGTTTGGTGCTGATCCAGGAACCTCAGCTGGGGGAGTAGGAGTTGAGTCTGCAAAGGGAATAAAGAGGACGTTGTCAAGCAAATTTTCTTTTTTTTTTTAATTTTTAAAAATTCATTGTATTTTATTTTTAGAGATGAGGCCTCACTACATTGCCCAGGCTGGTCTCAAACTCCTGGGCTCAAGTGATCCTCCTGCCTTGGCCTGCCAAAGTGCTGGGATTGCCTCCCCCTGCTCCACCTCCCCACCCAGGGATAAGGTCTCACTCTGGTGTCCAGGCTGGAGTGCGGTGGTGCAATCATAGCCTCAAATTCCTGGGTTCAACTGATCCTCCCACCTCAGCCTCCTGAGTAGCTGGGACTACAGGCATGCACCACCATGCTCAGCTTATTTATTTATTTTTTTGTAGACATGGGGTCTTGCTATGTTGCCCAGGCAGGCTGATCTCAAGCTCAATCAATCCTGTGGACTCAGCTTCCCAAAGTGCTGGGATTATAGGTATGAGCCACTGTGCCCTACCCTCAAACAAATTTCCATGTTGGCAACTGGAGCTAGATCTTGCTGGAGATCCTGAAAGACAGCATGGAATCCTCGAACACCCCCTGAGGGGTGAGGCATCTAGGGCATTTATCTGCCAACCCTCAGGAGTTGGCACTTGTAGATGGCATGCACAGCCAGCTCCACTGGCCTTGGCAAAGAGAATTGCCTCCTGGAGCCGGAGGCCAATTCCTGTGCTCAGAAGGGAAGGACATGTCTTCTGTGCTCCCTGTCTCATGAGGCCCCTTCGATAGGCATGGACCTTCATTCTCAAGTTCAAAGAACCCTGTGGAATCTTGTCCTTGTCCTCCAGAGAGAATCCTCTCCACCCTCAAGGTCCCCTCTCTCTCTCACCTCCCCACCAAGCCTCCCTGGACTCAATGTCTTCTGTCCCCTTCCCTGCCCAATGTCCACCTCTCCAGGCTCAACCTCTGTGATCCAGTGCCATTGGGGCTCCGTGGGTGGCTGGGTCCTGGTGGTTGGGGACCGTGAGAAGGGTCCTATCTGTCGGGTCTTAGATGGAGCATCCAGATGGCCACCCTTCCTACTGCCCCGAGTGGCCCCTGCCAGCGCCTCTCTGGAGTGTCACTAAGCTGACAGTGTTTGCCTTGCCTCTGCAGTAGGATGCATTACTGAAGTGGCCTCTTGGTCACCTAGCTCTGAATTTTCCTGGCTCCAGAAAGAGGCTGGTGGGCACAGGTCCCCCGGAATGAGGCTGTGAAGGGGAGAGAGGCAGGCCTGGGCCAGGCATAGGAGGACAACTAGGGCTTCTCAGGAGCTGTCTCAGCCAAGAGTCGTACACTCAATACTTAAAATGGCTTCAGGAATCTTCCGAGACTGAAGATTTCCCCAGGCGTGGTCTAGGGCCTGCCTGCCTCAGAGCCATGAGCAGAGCCCGTCAAAAGGTTTGCTAGGGCATCCTACCCCAGACATTAAAATAGACTCTTGGGGCTGGCCGGTGGCTGGAATCTGCGTTTGTAGCCAAGTGCTCTTCCTGTGTGACTCAGCAAAGTGGGGGTGCATTTGGGGGAACACCCGGGGCTAGGGCCTGAGCCCCCCACCCAAAGCCAGGTTTGATTCTTGCATTTCACTCCCTGCCTTCCATCCAGACAGGCCCAAGGATGCATGGGGTGTGAGATTAGCCCGTCTCCATCAATGCCTGTCGCCTCAGAGAGGTCCGAAGGCTCTTAAAATGCGGTTGCCATAGAAACAGCATCCAGCCAGTGGGGACCACAGACAGGGAGCCATGGAACCTGGGGTGCTGGGATGGAAACTGACTTGTGAGAGACCACAGCTACTGCTAGAAGGAAGGGGGGCAAAGTGGGCATAGGTAATCTAAGAATCCTTGGGCAGGAGGAGTCCCCAAGGCTACCTTGTGCATCCTTCTATCCCCAAAAAGAACTGTACCCCAACAATGTCTCCCCTCACCACATCCCCTGGGGAAGAAGGGAATGCAGAAATTAAATATCATAATGAGTAACAATGTATAAAAGCAACAAATAATAACAGCTAATGTTTCTTTTGCATTTTCTTTGTGCCTAGCTTTGAGCTAAATCCTTTAAAAACTTTACAGGGCTTGTTGACTTTTTTTGTTTTTTTACAACATTGTGAGGAGTGATTCCACCCTATTTTACTAAGAATGAAGCTGAAACTCAGAGAGGTTTGGAGGTGCCTTGCCCAGTGCCACCATGAGGGGCAGAGCTGGACTTGCTCTGGGCCTAGTTTATTGGTTTTGCCCGAGCCTGCCCACAGTAGGGGCATGGCATAGCCTCCCCCAGAGATTCCCTGTGAGTGATGACATAGCTTTGAATCAGCAAAGCCTCGGCCCCTGAGAGGCTGCTCTGAGGAGGCAGAGGCCACAGGGCCCCTCCATGGGATTTTTAAACAAAGTTTGAAGCCTGCTGTGATGGAAGAAGATGGGCTTTCAAGGAACCCCAGGTCAGCTAGTGATGTGACTGTGTACAGCCCACTGTGATGGGAACACTTTTTTCAAGCTCAAGGGGCTGGTAGGCAAGAGGCAGAAGGAGGAGCACAGCCTGGAAGTCAGGCACTTCAGGTGCCACTCTTCCCTGTTGCTGATGGCCTGGTCACCCGAGGCAGGTTGCGTCCTCTCTCAGGTGCTCAGTTTACCCCATCTTTCCAATGGAGGCATTGGATGGATGAGGATCTTTCTCATCTTGGAGAGCCCTGCTTTTGAATCCAGGATTAGCAACCTAGTGCCTGTGAATAGACAGGTGCCCCTCAGTTTTCCCATCTGTTCACTGGATTTGTCAAGCCTGCTGGGTCAGGAAAATAAGATCTCTGGATCCTTGTGTTCTGCACCAAGCCTTCTTCTTTTCCAGAGGAGTAGCCATCTTGTGAAGGAGCAAAGCTTTGAAAAGACTTTTCACTGCTGGGCAGTGATGTGGGGCAGACATAGGACTGAGCCCAAACAGAAGTCTAGGCACTTTACAGTTTGCAAAACACTTTTTTGTCCATCTATTTCCCATCTGATATTTACTACAACCCTTTCGGTCACAGAGGTCATACTCTGAGATGGCCCCATTTTACAGATGGGAAGACTAAAGCCTGGAGAGGGGCAATGACTTGCCCAAGGTCACACAGCCAGGAAAGGGGCCAAGAAGGAGAAAGTACAGGGTCTGGGCCTGGTTCTGGATCAATGCCAAATCCAGGATTGTGGATGACTCTGTGTTTTGTCAGCCACTCTGAGGTAGGCCCCTCACACCCATGTGACACAGACAGGGTGGCTGTCACACCCACTTTAGATCCAGACAGGGTGGCTGGCTGGGGTCAGCATACAGTCTGACCTCATAAAGCAGAGATGTCCTGTTCTCCAGGGGCTGTGAATTGGCCTCCAGCCCAGGACAAATTTGCCTGGTCCCAAACCCCAGCTGAAAATAGCTCTCTGAGGCCAGAGTCCCCTGCAGAGCTAGTGTTCTGGATACACAGCAGGACTCTGGGAGTCCCATTGCCCTCTGCCTGGGGCACGCTGGGGAACTCTGGGTAGCCGTGTTCTTCCTTAGGACCTCCTTTCCCCATCTGTGAAATGGAGGGATTCGGTCAGACCAGGGAAGGAAAATTGGTGTTGTTTTGTATGTGGAACCTCTGACCTGCCCTCCCAGTCGTGCTTCCCTCTCTGTGCGCTGACCACCCATCCAGGCACCCAGGCTGGAAACGTGCAAGTTGTCCTCAAACCTCCCCTTAACTCCTAAATTCACTCTCCTGATCTCTCTGATATCTTCTACTTCTCTCTCCCTCCATCGTCCTCACCCTCATCCCAGCCTCCATCCTTTAGCCCCAGACAACTATAGCAGGGTCCTCAGTGGTCTTCCTGCAGTCACTTGGATCCCCTTTATCTGTTCTCCACCCAGAAACTAGAGGGGTCTTTCAAAATGTAAAATAATGTCAGCCTTGCTTAAGCCTGAACAGTAGCACCCCATAACTCTCCAGATAGAAAACCCAACCTTCCCGTGATCTACAAAGCCTGTGTCGTCAGCCTCTACCCTCCACTTCAGCTTCATCTCAATCTCCATGTCTTCTGAGTCCCAGAAGCAATAACTTGCTTTCAGTTCCTCAGCCATTCCAAGCTTTTTCTGAGGTCAAGTTCCCCAGAAGTGGACCTCGGGGTGAGGATTCAGGTACAGGTGATTCATTGAAGAGGCGATCACAAGAGAAACCAGGAAGGGAAGCAGAACGGGGAAGGGAGGGAAGCCAAGGTGCAATTTCAGACCAAGTCCCAGCCTCTGCCTGGCTGCCTGGGGGAACGCTGGAGGATATTTTACACCTCCAAGGCACTTCAGGCTTTCTGCAGAATCATGTGCCACAAAGCAGAGTCCGATAGTTCCAGGGCAGACCTTGGAAGAAAGTTGCAAGTGTGGGCCCATAAAAGATAATATTCTGCACCAATAATATGTAAAGAGCTCTCACAACTAAATATTACTACTACTAATAATAAATTTTAAACTGGACAGAGGACCTGAATTGGCTTTTCTCCAAAGAAGATGCACAGGTGGCCAATAAGCACATGACAAGATATTCAACATTACTGGCCATCAGGGAAATGCAAATCAAAACCACAAGGAGATGTTGTTTCACATCCACAAAGATGGCTATAATAAAAAGACATATGACAAGTGTTGGTGAAGATGTGGAGAAATCAGAACTCTCATACCCTGCTGGTGGCAATGTAAAATGGTGCAACTACTTTGGCAAGCAGTTTGCCAGTTCCTCAAACTGTTAAACATCAAGTCATCATATGACCAAACAATTCCATTACTAGGTATACACTCAAGAGAAATGAAAACATATCCGCACAAAAATTTATACATGAATGCTTATTGAGAATTATTCCTGATAGTCAAAAAGTAGAAGCAACCCAAATGTTGATTAGCTATTGAATGGATTTTTAAAATATGGTATATACACATAATGAAATATTATTTAGCCATTAAAAAGGAATGGAGTCACTTCTTAACATTTTATGAAGCCACTGTTGTCCTGATATCAAAGCCAAATATGGACATAACAAAGAAAATTACTAACCTTATG